CACATTCAAAACCTTATCTGCATTGAAATTTCATTCAATTCATATCCTCTTACACACAGAAATAATTTTACTGTGAATAGACAGATTCTTTTCAGTACCTTCAATATGACAATGTATTTAAGGAGAAAGTACTACAAATACTTGAAAAAAGACTTTAAATAAAAGGGCTGCCTACATTTAGTGCACATTTATAGCATCTATACAGTGATACACTATCACAGAGCTACAAACTCAGAACTCTGCAGGAAATCAATGATCTTTTAGTTCACTATCATGAATGATTTAAAAACCCTGGTCCTGTCCTCCTCTCTGTCAGTATAAGCAGAGAAATAGCAAATTTACAGCAAGTTAATTTTGTATTCAGGATCTTCCTGTCTTACTTCTTCAGCAGAAAATGAAACTTGGATCTATCTCCCTCTATTACTATGAACAATTCTCAAACCCTTGGAAAAGCCAAATTCTTAAACGTACCAGATGGGCAACGCAAAACTGGATAATTTCTTGATTTCTCATTCTCCAATTCCACAACTTCTGGCACAGAGCATATCAAAGACAGTTTGCCAAATCAACAGATTACTTTAGAACATTGAAGAAAACATGTTTGATCTAAATTTGCATCTGTTAACAAAATTCTTTAAAATTACTGGAATAACTTTATAGGCAGATATGCCTGGAGGCAGGGGAGTGAGGGGAGAGGAGTGTTTTCTTAGGTTTAGGTTGTCTATTTTTCCATGAAGATTCCTTGTAATACAGATTAACAAACTGACATGAGTAAATTTGTTGTAACATCACCGCGAAAGAAATATCTAAGAGACTACTGAAGGTACTGTTATTTCCAAAGCCCCAGGTTACTCTTGGTCTTGCTAGTAATTTTCTCATCTTGCTGTTTAATCCTCCAAAGGCCTGAATAATATGGAATTTCAGAATTCAATCTTTTTCTTTCACCACCTGCATGTAGGGAAAAGTAGATCACCTCACTATTTCCCACTAGACTAACCCACAGACACAAGCAATTTCAAGTGCATTTCCCAAGCTTCCAGGAAAGCCTGATTTTCCTGGCAGTCACCTCATCCTATGTTTCAGCCTTTCAAACACTTGATTTGAGTAACCTGTAAAGCTAACTCTTCTGTACATTTAGATACACCATCAGACATTGCATATAAATTCCTTCCCCTTCTTCAAAGAAGAGTAAAAAATATTTCCTTGACAGCCTTCCGCATTGCCCTAGATGCATGCTAAGGCTGGCATGCCAGAGTCACAAGGAAACGATTGTTCCTTAAAGTTTAATCCCAAAAGACAACGATTTGGGGGTGAAGAGTGGAGTTGCGGGGTTTTTTGGAAGGTGGGGTTTTTTTCCTGTATAGCTGTCAATACATAAATAAATTTACCATACAGGATTAAAAATGTTTTGATTTCCTTTAGCCTCATAAATAAAATATTAATTAAAATTAATTTTTCTACACTGGTGTCACATTCTTTATGCTGCAACTTCTCTTTAAGATGTAACCTGTCAGGTGGACTGGGAGAAAAGGCATTTCTCAATGCTTTGTATCATGCAGGATGTAATTTCTGGTATAGAAATGCAGTTTATTTATTGAACCATTTGTTCAAGTATGATTTCGTCTTTGTGGCTAGGCCATCACAAGGCTTCAGGTTGAAATTTCAAAGCTGAAGTGTATCTGGAAAGAAGCAACAAAATACTTCTGATATTAAGGGTTCATAAGTAGCCTTGGGAATCAAGTTAAAATGCCACAAAAGAACAGTAGACATCCTCATTACCAAAAGACTACAGAATTTATTGACTACCACCAATAATTAAAGCAGAGTTAAGACTAACTCTAGTCTATGCTTGCTGCACATATAGCAGCAATTTGGTCTTTCTCGGCTACACTTGCGCCACAACCACTTCAGCAGCCAAGGATAATACATTCCAGACCACACTCTGGTACAAAGACTTCTCTATGCTCCTCGACTCACAACCCTTAAAGGCTTGCATTCTAACTCAGCACATCTCAAAACATACATCACTTCCAACAGTAGATAAACTGACAGAAGAGAAGTAGTCAAATGAAAATCTGTAAATTAAAAAAACACCCTGTCTGCCTCAGGGAGACCCAATAAGAGAAGGAGCTGCATGCTGAGAGCATACAGGGAAATATGCATGTCTCCTGGCTTCCTGTATTTTACTAAATTTTCCCTGTGCTTCTACTTTTGGTCACTGCTGGAGGATGCTAGATTAGATGAATCCTTGTTCTGATAAAATGTTATTAAATATTCTTAAGTATCAGCATTTGCACATCTGCTGTGTCTCTGTTACAGAGTTTTATATATTGTGTGCATGAAACCAAACACGTTTAAGCCAGAAATTGAAAGCGCAAGACTTTTCCCGTGCTATCAAAGCATTGCTATCTTGGACTAAAACCTTTCATGTAACGAATCTGCTAACTTGAACAATTTCTGTGATTTTGATCCTTCATCTAAACATCAAATATTAAGCACACATATATATATGCATATAATTCTACTTGGACAATTGGATGGTCTCCCATATGACTGGTCTCACTCTGTAAGCCAGTCTGCAATTCATGAAGTAACTTGGAAACATTTTAAATTTGAAGCTTAGTTTTTCATTTTCCTATCAGCTCTTTAGAAAATTAAATACTCTGGTCAATACATTTGATTATGTCTATGCCAGAAACAGCTCAAATATTTTATGTGAAAGTCTTATCATATTTCATGTATATGGGTATTTGAAAACTAAAGTCTAACTATCCTTCTAAAAATACAACCTTTAAAAATAAATGCATATTTCATGTCAAGACATCTGCACTTCATGATTTAGCCCAATCAATCTCAGAAGGAAACAACAGTACATCAATACTTCAAGAAAAACAGAGGAACTATCACCATTCACTCGCCACAACCACAGGAATCTGAAAACCACTGAATTATTTTAGAATTCAGCATCTCTCATGATCCTGCACTTTTTGGGCCTAATCTGCACTACTTTTTTTCATAAACTAAAGGAAAGCAATTATTTCAACAGAAGTCCACTGCTTCCACATTCTATTATTTTGAGATATAACAGAAAAAGGAAGAATTGCAGATTTTGATAAATTTTGCTATTCTTAGAAAAGTAGTAAATTACCTCCTCCTATTTGGCTCTATTATAGACACCCCTCAGAACAATGAGAAAGTGAGCAGTAAATTCTTACAAAAAGAAAGGGGAGGAGAGAAGGCTTGCAGTTGTCAAGAGAAAAATTTTCCATGGTTGAAACAGTGGAGAGCTGAAGAGAAAGGGAAAGGCACTTATGCCAACAAACGAGATCTCAAATAATACCAAATTTATTACAGAATAAAGACCACTATTTCTTACTTCACCCAGCGGGAACAAATAGGGACTCTAATTTGGTTCTTTTAATTTTACAGAGGTTTTAGAACTACAGAAGACAAGATGACCCCAGCAAACAAGCTTGTGACCTCAGAACTATTTTTTATGTGCAACACTAGTCAGAGAAGCTATCCAAATTGTGATAAGTCTGACACCAGGCACATGATAATAGCTTAAATAAGCTTGTACTCCCTGCCATTTCTCTGAAGGGTGTTAAAAAAAACCCAACCTCTAGAAAACAGAGATTGATAGTTTACTGGGACAGTGTATCTCATGCCTTAGAGGAACAAGTGCTCTTTCAGTACTGAACTCTGTAGGCTTAGTTCAGGGCCATGACATTTTAGACAGACAAGCAGGTCCCTGGCTTCAGCTGCCTATTTATATACATGAGCTATGGAATTTGCCAACAGCAGCACTCAAATTCCCTTTCGCTGCTTTTAAGTCTTCTGCATTGAGAACTTGTGTTGCAAACAGTTAATACTTTCGACTGTTCAGTACAGGACAAAAAGATTATTCTTTCTCTTTTCTGTGCTACTGTGACAGTTTTAAGGCCAACATTCTTTAAGAAAGACTATTAATCCACTTGTACCAGGAACAAATCAGTAGCAACCAGGTCAATTTATCGCACTAAATGCTGTGTTCATTAAGCAGAGATAATAGAGTAAGAGTTTAAGTACAGAGTGGGCTAAAACAAACGACTGAGGAAAATACCAACACCTCAACAACAGGAATGCTTTCTTAATAAAGCAGAACTTCGTGGAGTCATAATTACTTAGCAGCCCACATAAACCAATAAATTGGATGACAAAATCTTTGGAATATTTATGTAATTCTTATATTCAAGTATTATTTCAATGAGGTATCCTTTTACTTAACTTTAAATTAGTAAGACAAAACTATTCTATTCTCCTCAATTAGCATGACTTCCCTCTCAAGTAAGTCACACAACTAAGTTTGATGACAACATTATTTCAATTTCCTCACAGTTGCACACATCTGCCAACTTACCAAAGCACCACCATCAGTAAAACACCATGAATACAATACTTGGCTGACAAAATTTCATAACTTATAGAAGTCTGGCTCTCACAGAATGATAGATTTTTAACAAGTCAGGCAAGTGAACCAAGTCATGTCCATGGACACATAAGTACACTCCCCCATGCAACAGAAGTTACCATCCCCAAAGCAGGACAGGAAAGCCAAGTCCTACTATACTACCATATTCCAAAAGCTTATTAAAATAAACCAAAACAAATTTTCATATTAAATAAATAATACTAATAAAATCTGGCAAAATTTACAAACTCTCTTCAGTATAGTGACAGATGACAAAAGTTACTAAAATTAACATTTGAGTTTATATATTTTGAGAGAATATAAAATGCCAGATAGTGTTGTCTACAAACCAATCAATGTAAGAGATACAATAAAATATCACAACCAGATCATAAAAGAGCATCTTTTTATTGTAAGCAGGGATTTAGAGTAGTAATTTTAAAATTACTAGCTGTGCAGCTTCTAGAAATTATAGTTTTGCTAGTGTCTTTGTACAATCAATGGTGATTTGCCTTTTAGTTACCTCAATACAATAAGCAAAGTGACTTACCATTCTTGCTGACATCCAGTTCCCTGAGATTAATGAGATTTGCAATGGATGCTGGCAATGTGGTTAGATCATTGTCTGGCAAACTCAGCTTGTGTAGAGACTGACAGTTAAACAGTTGCTATTGAAACAAAGGAAAAAGTGAATGTGATTTTCTCTCAGTTTTCTCTATACAGTTTTTGTTTTTAATCCATTGAAACTTCTGACCTCATGGCCTGAAGACCAAGCTATTTAGAGTTTTTATCTACCAAAAAGTTTTAAATAGTTTCATTGAAAATTTACTCATTACAACACATCAGAAAGCAAAAAACTGTAGATAGTTACAGGGCAGCAGTTATGCTTAATCCTTCCTACAAATGCCTTCCAGGATCTCAGAAACTGTAACCTGTAGTTACAGTTAGACCTGCAAACATTGCAAAACATTTTCTATAATAGACTTGCCATGTGACAACCCAGAGGTAAATAGAGTTTATTCAAGAAGAAAAAAATCATTCTGGAACACAGGATTTCAGTAGGTATTCACCGCCTCTAAAACTATAAATTTCATTTTGTTATGTCTCCCAATATTTTTCCTGTTCGTGCTTCCTACCTTAAGTACAAAAAAAAAAAAGAAAAAAAGTTAAAAAAAACCTTGAATTGAAAACTAGTAAAAAATATTGAACTAGTGAAAAAATTGAAACTAGTCAAAGTTCAAGCTAGGGGTACAGATAACTGTCTAATCCCCTATGTATACATGCATTACCATCTTTAACAAATAGCTCAGAGCCAGATCTCTTCTTAAATGCAGGGTACCTAGAGATTCTTCCTCAAAAGCTTAACAAATTGACAAAGTAGGGAAAATAATCTTAAGAAGAAGAAGAAAGAAAAAACATCAGAAGATATGCAGAAAACTTACACATAATATAAAATAAATAGCTCTAATAAGCAATTGAAAAGATTCATCTGAAAAATTTATGATGAGTATTTCTTTCATTACAGCTTTGGATAAGATCATTCATTGACTTTGTGATTTTCTCCTTTGGAATTCTGAGAAAACATAATAAAATACCAGGAAGGGTTAATTGACTAAAAGCTCAGGTGTTTTGGAGCCATTCCCTTATTTTAGGAATATATACTTAGACTCTTTCCCTGGAAAGCAATAATCTAAACTCTTGGAATCATTAGAAATTTCTCTGATAACTCAGGTCAAGGCATACGCAGCAGGAATTACAAGATCCCCTAAAGGAAAATGGAAGGGGAAGGGAAGATGATGTTGCCTTTGCAGTTATTCCTTTTGTTGCTCTTTTTCAGTGTTTACATATTCATAATTACTAGCAGTAAATGCAGGAAGCCACATAATTAAAGACTATTTTACTAAAGAATTCTTATTTCTTCCAAACATCAGAGTGAGAGAGAAGTAAAACTGTTACAGTTTGAGCTTTTCAGCTCAAATGCACACTGTAGCTCCTGGAGTAAAAAAGGGTACTTTTTCAGATGTGATTTAGCATACAGGATGAAGGAGGGTGAAACAATTTCAAGCGTCAAGTAAATTTTGAAGCTAAGACTATGTACCAATATTTCTTTTAAAGTCAATTCCTTCCCTACCACAACCTTTCTCCCCTCCAGGTTGCTCATACTATGCCTCTCACAAGTCAGGTAAATTAAGGAGCTACACTGTAAGAACTGACTTTTGAAATAAGCTGGAATTCTGAAAAGATTCAAAGCAATTAAAAAAAACTAACAGCCACACTGATGGGTCATAAGGTTGACAAGCAGCCTCAAAACAGTTGTGGCATACAAAGATGAGATCACAAAACACTACTGGGGCAAGGAGGAAAGGTGAGAGTGGGAATGTCTCAACAGGGTTTCTGAAAACTAGAGAGGGCCTGGTAAGTATCACACCCTTCATATTTGAAATGGCTTAATAAAAAGCCTTTTTCAGAGTTGGAAGACTAAATAAAATAGAAAAGGAACACACAGCTTGAAACTCTGGGTCCATAATGGCTAGGATAATTTCAAATAGGCTTTCCCCTAAAGTTCTGCTTGGAAGTTTAATTATAAAAATTTTGGTCAACTGAATAAAAATCACTTTGACTATATCTTCACTACCTCTAATCTCTCTGCTTGTGTCCTTTGCCATATTTGAATTTATATGTGGGGGTGTTTTCTTCTGCAAATTGAAAGGGTAGCAAAAAATAATGACCAAAATTACTTAACAGCTGGAAAAAAATCTTTAGTTTCTCAGAAATATGGCTTAAGTATGACTTACTCTAATATAAAAACACATTAACTTGAAGCAAGTGTAGGCTATTACATGTCCCTGCAGTTAAGAAAATAAAACCAAAACCCAAAAAGGAACAAAAGACAAATGTTCAAGCAATCTTTCTAATCACATGGATAATTAAACTGTAGACTAGACCAAGGCAAGTGGTAGCCTACCTACTTCACAGTGCACAGAAACAGGTTTATTAGCCAGTCTTTTCTGCTTTGTAACTCTCTTGAGCCGGATCTGTTGCTTGAACAATTTCATTCTAATTCATGCAATAAAGTACTCCAGCTGGAATGCGTAAACTTTCATTCTACTAAGGCTGCTTCATGGCAAACTATGGCCCAAAAGCTGAAGCTGGACACTATTAGCTTCTACAGTGCTGGTAAAGTAAAGACATAATAAGTGTACCTAAAAGCGAAATCATCCAACATACCTTTGGAAGCTCTTCAATCTGATTAGCATCTAAGTACAGTTCTTCCAAGGTCTTTTCAAAAGTAAAAATCTCCTTAGGCACCTGTTCCAGGCTGCAGTGAGAATAATCAAGTGTAGTCACAGTTTCCTCCTCTCCACGCAGACAGCGGCATGGCACCAGCCGCAAAAACAAATTCCGCTTCGTTGTCATTTTCAGGCACTGTAAAAGGGAAATTGGTCAATTTAAAAACCAAGACAACCTCAGAAATACCCACGTGCAGTTTCTGAAACTTCCACTGACCGCTAAATACTGAAAAGAAGTAGCATATATATGTTCCTGCATATATATTTCTATATACATGAGACACAGTGAGAAGTATGGACTTATTTTCTTTTCAATACAACAGAACTCTAATGACGTTAAATGGGGTTAACACACCTGCAGATACCAGAAGATTAAGCCAAAGTTTAGCCTATGACTTGTGACCAACTAACACAATCCTACACTGCAGAGAATCAGAGAACTTTGAAATGGGCATTTCTGAACTGTCAATTGTGCCTTTACAATACAGCTTATCCCACCTCTACAAAGATCAGTGGGATATTTTTTGTTTAGCACAATAAAATTCACCCTCTGCAAAGAATTAAAATGTAGCTATAGGAAATCTAATCAGTTTTTTTTTTTTTTTGTACATGTAAATTCACATACCTTAATTTCAAATCCCTCATTTAATGACAGAATACAATAAAAAAACCCAGTTTCTACCAACTGTTCTCTCTGCAGTTTAAACGGACAGATTTCCAAGATAACAAGACAACCTCTCCTTGCAACTTCACTCCCTTTGGAAAACTTCAACACATCTTGCTGTGCACACTGGAACAAGGAAACTTCATGGGAATGTACCTTTCTTCTTTTGGGAATGTACCTTTCTTTCTTTAAACTCATTGCTACAACACTTCCCTCTGTTCTCCATGAGTACATTATTCTGCATTATCCCTATTCAGCCTCAGAAGGCAAACCTAAATGGTGCTGACTTGCTAATCACTTACAGCACACACCAGCAATGTTCCTGCCTCTTTTCTCCTCAGCAACAGCACAAGTTTAGGTCTCTTTCTCTAATAAGCAATGGATTCTCACAAAATCTTCAGAATGTCACCTCAGGTTTTAAGTTTGGCTGAAATTAGATGACAGACTCAATTTTTCAAGAAGGACCAACATATGCAGACGAACAACATGATCATGTCAGCTTCATTTCCTCAGGAAATTAGCCTAAAAATACATACTTCTCCAAAACAGCACTGAGTATTTATTTTCTCAATCAAACTGCCAACACTCCAAATGAAAATATGCCTTTTTTATCCCCCTTTTTTTTGAACTGCTGAAATTATATTTCAACTTCTGGACTAGTGACAGGAAAGTTTCTCCTCCAAATGCCAAAAAAGTCTTTCAGACACATTTAGCAGACTGCAGTTCAACTTTCAGACAGTATGTTAGTAATCCAGGGAGAACATAAAATACCATGCCCATAGCACTATGTAAAGTCACAAGCAAGACTCCTTTTCTAACTAAGACACAGAAACAAGTAATGCACTTGGATTTTCCTTTATGTGCAGCTTAGCTTTCCAAATACTTCACAGTATGTATAATTCATATGGCAACAGATTAAGCGACTGCTATACTTTAGTGTTTTCATTAACCAGTAGTAGAATTTATCACATAGGCTGTGAACAGTCAGATTCTACATACATCCATTTAAAAAAATGGAAGAAAACTTTTCATTAGAATAGTGGAATGTCAAAACCTCTTTTTTAAACAATGCTTCCACGTTGCTAGAATTTTGTTACAACGTTGATTATCAGAACACAGCATTTCACATAAAACTGCAGACACATTCAAACAAAAAGTGATCTAATAATTTTTTAAAAAATATTTAACTGTGTTGCAATACAAAGAGATTGGAGATTGCAAATTTCACATTGGGGATCTTCACAGAATGGGAAAGTCGGCAAAACAGATAGCATAACCTCCTCCTGCCTTTTTCACAGGAACAGACTCAAGAATGACATCCTCTAGCCACCCACAGACAGATGCCAAGGATGCTATGGAAGCTGATGTGCTCACTAGATCAAAGTTATCCATGCCTTCTCCAAGCCTCTGATGCTGCACATGAAAACACAAGCTGAATTCCCTGGCCAACATCTTAAAACAAAAAGCCTTTGACAAAAAAGAAATTTTGTCTCATTTTGCTAGTAGTTCAGAGAATGGCAAAGCTGTGGAAAAACACAATACTTCCAAAAGAAGCATCAACAGTAGTCTCTTTAAACAGGAGCATAAACAGAAGAACATACGTCATGGAAACAAGCATTGGAAGCGGAGATTGTACATGTGAATTGATTACCAGAAGTCTGGCAGGGAAAGGCACACCTATATCCCACCAGCTGCAGCCGTCAATAAGTTCACTTTGTCCAGCCATTTCAACTTCTGAGAACTATATTTTGAAAGCAGAATATTAAGACGTTTACTACATGCTTCACATGAATAACAAAAAACGATACTACTCGCCATTCAAATCCCTTAAAAACACATTCATTACACTGCCCCCTCTTCTTCAGTGACTGTTCTCTTCACATGGAGTCCTACTTGTCCATGTCTCTACCAAAACTCATAAAGCCTAACAACGCAAAACCAACACACAAATAGTTTTCCTAACTTATTCCTTCATTTTGTAAGAGAGATTTTGAGCTTTTGGAAGGCGTTGGGGAAGAAAGATCTGGTAAAAGATCACATGCATCCACAGCACCATAAACAGATTAGTAAACGAATGCCTGGACAATATCACAGCGCTGGATTATATCTCCTTCAGTTACCATGTCTCTTTAAGTACCTAAACTCATCGCACATCTTAAGCCAAAACAGTCAAAACTCATATATGAAGTATCAAATAAACAACCACCCCCCAAAGCACTGGTTCGACCAACCTGGATATATATTTAATATATATATTAACTGGTAACTCTTCAAAACCCAGAATGAGCCAAGAAAGTTTCACTTAAGTGAAGGCAGGAAACTGCAATGTGAATTATTTCAAAATTATTTTATGTTTGTTCAAATTTTACTTATCTACACATACAGGAAGAACTGTTTAACACTCATGTTCTACAACAGAGATGGCTGCCAATACTAGGAAATGGGTGCGTCAGGATAGTGGCAGGAAGCATTCCCCACAGTCACTCCTCTACAATATATATTTTATAAACGAACAGTCAAACATACACACTTCTTATCTGTCCCTGTCTACTCATCTTGTGGTTGGTTGCCAAGCAGAAAAATTGTAAGGAATGAAAGGAATGAGAAAATACAGAAGAGAATCCACTGTTAGAACTATCAAAGACAGGAAAATGTCATTTCACACACATGTGTTTTTCTTACATTGCTCAAATAGGAACTTCTCCATGTTTAGTTTGAGTAAATACACAGAATGTAAAAAGGGACACAAAGGGACACAAAGTGATTTTTTCCTGCCCATAAAACAGGCAAGTCTAGCAGGCAGAAAAATCTTGATTTCCTAATATACCACAACATCACACTACCTGAAGCACCAAATCCAACAATGTAAAATTATCTTGCAGACCTACTAGATTGTGATGGCTTATTTTACTCCACCACTTAACAAGTCCAGTTCTTTATGAAGCAGATATAATAAAGACCTTGAAGGAAAAAAAAGGAAAAACCTGAAACACAAATAAAACCCTCTTGTTCCCTAAATCATTAGAGGTTAGTTTAAACACAAGTTTACCTGAGGTTCAGTGTTCACAGCCAACAGGAAAATTATGACCTTTATATAGAGTTCTTGGGTTGCTTTGCGTTTTGTTTTTTTTTTTCACTTCTTGAAGGACTAGGAAGGGAAAAACATCACTCAGCACAGGCTGCAGGTGATCTGCTCCACCTTGGACAATGGTCTGCAGGGGAATCTCTGTTCTAGTGCCTAGAGCACCTTTGCCCCCTCCTTCACTGGCTCTGGTGTCTACAGGATTGTCTCACATATTCCCACTTTTCTTGCCTGGCTACTGTACAGTTGTTTTGAATGCTTCCTTAAACATGTTATCACAGAGGTGCTGCCAAGATTGCTGACTGACTCAGCTCTGGCCAGTAGCGGGTCCATCTTGGAAACAGCTGGAATTAGTTCCACCCAGCATGGGGGCAACTTCTGCATGTGGTGAAGTCACACCTGCAGACCCCCTGTAGGATCCCAGAAGATAAGGGGCTAATGTGTTGTCTCAAACACCAGTAGCAGGGTGGCTGTGGCACCAACCAAGGACTTTAGGTAACAGCAGCCAAGGACTGTTGGCAATAACATGCTGTGAGAAAGGACAAGATGTGACTGGACAAGGGGCCACACAGAGGTAGGACAGCACTCCTCTGGGACAGAGGTCTTTGATCTACCTCCTGGAGATACGCACAGTGCAGTACAGCACAAACAGAGAAATGAGGTGGAGAAGTAGGCACAGATTCTATGGGGGGAACAAGACCACCAAAGACCCAAAGCCCTCTGAACCCATTTCCACAAGGACCTGGAAAAACAGACAGCACATGATAACTAATTAACACTGAAAATCTAAAACTTTTCTCTGGGTCAGGGAAAGCTTACCAATTAAAAAGGCACCCAAAACCAAGCCCAAGTGCATGGGTATTCCCTGGACACCCTATTGCCTGGATCAATACTGGAGCCAGTACTGGCTTTCTCTCTCTCTTACTCCCTCTATCCATCTTTAATTTGTCTGTCTCCTTCTTTTCACCCTACCCCTTTATCCAAAATCTACTGCTGTGTATTTACATTAGGAGGTGTAGGACTAACATACCAACTTGCACGCCATATTTAACTAACAAAACTTCATAAGCTTTTGTGGATTCTCTAATTTTAGTTATTCCTTTTACTACTAAATCCTTGCCAATTACACCCAATATAAACTATAAACAGTAAAACTGAATAGAATTCAATCATTACTGTAAATTACTGTAAAATGAAGCTGAAAAGAAAAGCATTGGTTTGAAGACAATGAAAGAAAACAAGATAAACAGCAAGCTTGAGTATACACTAAATTCTAATTCAGAAGAGACTAGCATCACTCAGTGAACCATCACTCTTCCCTTTAACTCTGATGATTCCCTGCATACTGCCCTCACCCAAGTACCTGGCAGTCCAACAGCAGAACCCCATG